CCCCTTTTTGTCCCAGTATGATTATTCATAGAGCTTCTTTCATCTCAAAAGAATTCCTGTTTGGCAGGACAAACCACCCTAGCTAGAGCGGTCATGGCATGGATATTCCCGGGTCAACTCATTCAGTCCCCCTCCTCATTCTCAGCCTGCTCTGTGTTCTCTTAAGATCTCTGTCTTGAAAGATGTGCCTCTACCCCCAGCGGCCCAAGATAACTGAGACTCTTTCCCCACTCTCAACTCCATGTCTAAAGCAGTTGCCAGCCATGCCCCTTCAGCCCCAGGACATCTCTCAAATGCATCCTTTCTCCTCCGTTCCTTTGCTGATACAGGTTAGATTGAGGGTGGGGCTGAGGTGTCATGAATCAGAGTCCTACCCATGCCCTGCAGTTGAATGAACCAAGGGTTATGGGCATAAATATGTGGGTCTCTCTGTCTATTCTTCGTTTTCAAACTTTTTTTTCTTACTTTCTTTTGTTTTTTAGAGACAGAGTCTCCCTGTGTCGCCCAGGCAGGAGGACAGTAGTGTTGTCATAGCTTACTGCAGCCTCCCAAGTAGCTAGGACTAGAGGTGCACACCACTATGCTCAGCTAATTTTTAAAGCATTTTTGTAGAAACAGGATCTCTCTGTGTTGCCCAGGCTGGTCTCAAATTCTTGGCCTCAAGGAGTCCTCCTGCCTTGGCCTTCCAAAGAGCTGAGATTACAAACATGAGTCACTGTACCCGGCCCTATTTTCAGACTTTTACTAGAGATTTGGGTTCAGGAAATATTTCATTTTCCTCCTGATTCTTCAAAGGTTTAAAAAAAAAAAAAAAAAGCTTAAGAGCAGTGGTAAGTGGCATTGACACACCAATGGGGACAGTGGTGGACAGAGCATGCATGTGTCATCTCAGGGCCCACTGCTCAGCCTGACCAGGTGACAGTTGCCCTGCAGGAAGGTGGGCCACTATAGCCAGACCTGATTTTTCAAAAGAACTTGGAAACTGGGATGATTCTGATATGAAATCTTCCAATTCATAAAAGTGGGTTTAAAAGTGTTGCGTGGGCCACATAAAACATCCACAGCCCCTTGGGCCCACAGGCTGTCAGTTTTGAGCTGCTGATTTCTACTCTCACCCCTTCTTGTCTCAACTTCTGCTGTAGTCCTGGGCACCTCCTTCTGCTGTGCCCTCCACACTGCCCCTGGCTTTTCTGTCTGAACTGCAGATCTCATCACTCAAAGGTGCTCTCTGAAGGGCCCTTTGCTGTCTGCAGAACAAAGTGTGCATTCCTCAGTATTGCCTTCCAGCTCTTTCTTGGTCTAGTCCGGTCTGACCCTTCTCTCTGGCTGTGTCTCTGTCACCCTGTGCACACCCTGGCTATACTCTAGTCACACAGGACCACTCACTGTCCCCTGAGAAGTATTAATATTTTTAAATTTTAATAGACCATTTTTTAGAACAGTGTTAGGTTTATAGAAAAATTGAGTTGTCAGTACAGAAAGTTCGCATGTATCCCTCACCTCCTTTCACCTCCCCACCTAATTTTTCACTACTGTGCATATCTTGTATTGGTGTGGTACATTTCTTACAATTAATGAACCAGTATTGACACATTATTATTAACTTAATTCCATAGTTTAACATTGAGATTCGCTTTTTTTGTTGGCAATACCAATGTTTTAATGCCCTTTACAGTTTTTAAGAATTGTTTCCCCTGCTTACCTACTCTTCCCTCGACTCTGGCAAGATTCTTTTCAAGACCAAATCTGAATACCACTCAGCACAGCCTTCTCGGGCTGTTTATTTTTGGATTGGGGCTGGCAGAGAGAGAGCAGACAGAACACAGAAGAGACACAACGTTTTTATCAGATGCCTCGTGTGTGCCAAGTAGCATATGTGTACTTTTAAGTCTCTTTGCAGTTACAAGGTAGATGTTGGGATAGGCCATTTGCTGTGGAGAAACAGAAGTTCAGCTGTGCAAAGCTCCCAGCTGATCTTTGGTTTACATCCATGTCTGCTCAGCCCCAAAGTCCCAGCCCTTCCACCCTCGTCTGTGTGGCTGGATTCTTACCCGTGACCTAGCATTCCTGTTCCCCCATCAGCTTAGGAATCTCCTGGAGTGAAGAGCACAGTGTTACTGGGCTCCACGTGTCTGCTCCAAACACAGAACTTGGTACCTGCCACAGCTCAGGACTGTGTTCTGAAGGGGTGAATAGTGACAGTTACCAAATATCGACATCGGTTCTACATGGCAGATGCTTATTGAGTTCCCACCACACTTCAGGCTTGCTGGCTGGTGAGGGCAGGCATAGAAAGGAAAGTGGCAGCGATGCCACCAGGCAGGTTACACATCGCGCTAGGCAGTCAAGGCAGCTGCTGGTTTTGCATTTACCCATGACTAGAGTGTAAGTGGCAGGAGAGCAGGACTGTTGGGCCTCTCCTGCAGTCCCTAGGACAGTGCAGAGTAATAGTAATTGTTAATAAAGATCTGTTGCCTGAATGTTTGAGTCCTGTTGCACATTTGGGACCCCTAAAATGACTCTGAGCTTCTCAGAGTTCTTGTGTGTATTCAGGGAATCATCTCCTCGGCTCTGGCAGCTATGGTTTTCCAGTGCTTGGCTCGGTGCAGCCCTGTGTTCCAGGCTGTTCCCTAATCACACCAGGCCTGGGCCTGGCTGCTGTCTTTGCCCAGAAGTTCTTTTGACCAGAACTTCAGGAAAGGGGGGGAGGAAGAGGAGCTGTCTCTTCCAGAGTCATCCTCTGAGAGCTCCCTTCTTGAGAGCTGCCTGGGCTCCTGGGCCTGACCTTGGGTCCCAATTCCAGAGGGCCTGGCCTTGTGCCTGGACCTCGCGCCAAAGGATGGTCTCATTTTCCTTGAACCCAACACTCTAAAAGTCATGCAAGGGTAGTGGTGTATTCAAATATTTTACTACTTTTCTTAGAGAAAAATATCTTAAAAACATGCACCTATTTCATATATTTGCTTATAAAGCTTTTCTTTCCACCCTCGTTCTGCCTTCTCTCTTCCCTCTTCTTTCCTGCCCCATTTTTCCCTGGCTTCTCTGACCCTGTCTTCCATTGATCTTGTGGTACCTTCTCAACATGCTTATTCCCACCAGGGCTTCTCCAAGTACCCCTCTCCCTCCATCCCGTGTGCAACCAGGATCACAATTGGTGTCTGGTTTGTGCCCAAGGTGACAGAACTGAGGGACTCATGGGCTGATTTTCATAAACCAGAGCTACCAAGCGTTTCAAAAACAGTCTTGTTTTTGCCAAGTAAGGTGAGCAAATATGGGCCGAAGTTTAAACATCCATCAGGAGTTATTTTTGAAGTGATTGCTTCTAAACGAGAAGCATTTGAAAATCTCACAGGTTTCTTTACAAGTAAATTCCAGAGTCATGTATTTTGCTGGTGTCTGCTGATTAATTACGATCCTGTGACACCATGAAAAGCTCCGGTGGTTGGTTTTGTGCAGCTGTGGAGAAAAGTAAAGCAGGGCCCAGTGGCTGTGCCAGCCCTCTCAGGACAGTGGGGATTAAGGCGGAGGGAGGTATTTTTTCCCTCTGGCAGTCACCACAGAAGAACAGGAACCCCAGCCAGACCCATTTCTCCAGACTCCACGACGGGCGGTTTGGGTCCCTGCGGGGGTGTGGTGAAGGAGCGACATTTGATCTGTTGCTTCTGAAATAACAGATCCATTATTAGAAAAAAACCTTTCCAGTCTCCACATCGGCACTTGTGTGCGTTCTCCTGTACAGCTACTTCTGTTTAGAAAGAAAAAAAAAAAAGCTGTTACATATAGCAGAGTCATCAAAATGTACTTTGATTCTCTGAACAGAAGGTGCATGGCATGTATTTGCCGGTGGTGATCGCAGACGTCTGACCCAGTAAAACCTGCCAGCTCACCATTTAGGGCCTGATGACTCTGGATCGATTTTATCTGGCTCTTTTCTCATTACCCCCCTCATATCTAACTCTCAATTATTTCACTGCTGTGAGTGCCTTGTTGACAGAGAAAAAGTTGAGTCTGGCTGCTGAGAAAGGATCATCTGCCCTAATGAAGGGTACAGGAGGGAAAGAAAACATTAAAATAGCCTTTCCGAGTTTTAGGGTGCTTATCTGCACTGGCTGTGCCCCACCCGTCTCTCCCTGGGGCGTGAGACGGAAGAGTTTCTCCCATGGACACCGGCTGAGTCACAGCATCTCATCTGCCCTTGTCCTCTTTCTTGGTCTGCTGCAAATCTGTAGTCCTCACCTAGAGGCCTGTGGCTGACATTGCTGAGTGTGACTCCAGTACACACATACATACACACACACACGTCCACACACACTTCCACAGCCTGTGTCACTTGTCTGCTGGAACTGTGGCCATCATTCTGACTGCAGGCAGCTGGAGGGACAGCGGGCTCTGCTGTGTCCGTGTCCTTCTAGTATATGATACCATGTGAGAGAAGAGGCTCCTCTGCCTTGCTGCCTCTGCCCAACCTCTGAAGGGCATCTGTTAGAAAACCTAAAACATTAGGAACATCGCTACCCAGTGTTGGCAAAAGCACGGGTGAGTCTGACCTGCTGCCTCAGCGAAGACTATTCTGATGAACCCATTCACGCAAACCAGTTAAATAATCTTAGGTCTTTGACTTTAAAAGGCACATTATACCATCATGTGAGTCTGCCAACATAAAACAATTTGCATTTCCTTGCTGAAATGAGTGCATAGGTTAGTTGTAACTAAAAAGCTCTTGTAGCAAATGATTGCTTGCTCGCAGAATAGTTCACCAATTTGGGGGATCGTACAAGAAACCCAGAGCCCAGGTATGGACAAAGGACGTAGGCTTCTCACCACTGCCGCGTCCTCCAAAAAAAACCAAGCTTGTCTGCAAAGAGACCAGAGCCACATTCTGCAGGTGTGTGTTTTCTTTGAGGAGAATATTTTGAGGAAACCTAAAAGGGAGGAACTAAGTATTTAGGAAAAATATATTTTCACAGCAGGATATTGTTTTTTTCTCTTTTTTGGTTTAGGTTTATCGTTTGTTACAAGCCTACTCAGACTCCAAACACAGGACAAATTCAGACTTTCAGCACGAGCTGACTGACATCACTGTTTGTACCAAAGCCAAACTCTGGCTGGCCAAGAGGTATGTTAAAATCCCACACAAGCAAGGAGTTATCAGGGGTTAGGAATACATTCGAGAATTGCTGTTTCTAGTTGTGGGGAGTTTTAAAAGTCATTGGCATGAGTTTTCTAAACTTATTGGAGTATTTATCCTTTTAGAACTTTGGGTTGTGGTAAAGAAAGAAAAATATTTTCTTGACAATTTTTATAAAACTGCCGAGTGACTGAGGGGCATGTACTATGGCTTTTTATCTGCCCACCAATCAGCTTGTCTTTATTAATACCTGCTGTGTGCCCAGCCCTGTGTTGGCTATCATAACCCTGAAAGGCGGTAGGCGACTAAATCATGTGACTCCTAGATGCTACAGCAACTCGGAGACTTGAGATGGGCGGGGGTGGGCAGGTACCAAGGGACAGAGAGGGTGTGAGCAGGAAGAACGGGTAGAAGTTGCCGTTCTCATGTGGGTAGTAGGGTTGCTTGAATAAGCACAGCAAAGAGGGGTGGAAACATATTTTTTCATCCTTACCATTTATTCTGGAACTTAGAATATTGACTGTGTGAAAGATGGAGTAAAAAGAATTTTTTGTTGAGTAGACCAGGAGACCTCTCCGTGACACCACCGTGTTCCAGATCTGTTTCAAGGGACTCTGGTATGGTGGGGACAGTGTTGCCACGAGGGCCTGTGTCCTCTGAGTTCCAGCAGGGCAGGCCCAGGAGAGGGGCACGCGCTGCCACGCCCCATGCTACTGTGTGCACATTTGATTAAAAGGCAGTATGCTGATTTTTTTTTTTTTTTTTTTAGTTGGAGTCTCACTCTGTCGCCCAGACTGGACAGCCACCGCAGCCTCGACCTGCTGGGCTCCAGTGATCCTTCTGCCTCAGCCTTCCAAGTAGCCGGAATTAAAGGCGTGTGCTACCGGCTGATTTTTTGATTTATTGTAGAGATGAGGTCTCGCTGCCCAGGCAGGTCTCGAACCCGCGGGCTCAGGCAATCCACTCACCTCAGCCTCCCAAAGGCGCGGGATTACAGGCTGAGCCACCGAGCCCAGCTAAAAAGGCAGTATGTTGACTGAGGTAGCAGCTTTTGTTCTTCATTTTTCAGACAGTGTGCTTTTGGTCACTTTTGCCGGGCTCCCTTACATGGTACGTCAAGCAGTTGACAACGTGAGGTTCTCAAATCGGCTTGATTTGACAAAGATGTAGAGACAGGGAGAGGAATTCCAGGCCTGGGTGGAATAGCATGGGGCAGAGACATGGTCTTATGAGATGGCTTGGGAGGTGGAGAACTCTAAGGAAGTTAGCCCCTCTGGAACCTATGGTGTAAGGCACATGTGGCAGAGAATGAGGCTGAGGAGATATGCAGAGGCCACACAGCAAGAGCCCCTCAGGGGACAGGGAGCCAGCTGTGGATTTCATGTGTACGTATGCATGTGTATGTGTGTGATCATCTCAGCACCCATAGCTTTGGACAGGGATATTGAGGAGAAATGCCAGTAAAGTTATGGTGAACCTCTCACTTTAAATCTGATTTTTGTTTTCTCCATTTTATTTAGAGAATAGAAGTTCTTACACTCAAAGTGTTTTCCTAAGCCTCTCACCATTTGCCTTCTGCATGGCTCTTAGCCTCCCCAGGATGCGTTTCCTGGGCGCATAGGACTTGTGATCACATTTCTATGCTCAGCTCTTACCAGTGAATAGGCCAGTTGCTCCTGGTTGTTATTTCTGGGGATTAGGAAGTCAAGGCTCTCCAGAAATTATCTTGTTGAAGCCCTGCTTCCAGCAACAGCTGCCCCAAGTATCCTCACTCTCTAGTTCTTAAAGTGCCATAAGGAAGGAGTTTCTGCCCCCTTAGCTTGCTCCTCCTTCACAGGTCTCACAGAAAATCCTTGCCCACCAGCCTCCTGCCTTCTTGTTAGATGGGATGGAGGAGGTGGGGTGACAGGCCAGCGTTGAGTGGATCTTCATGTTGGGCAGTCCCTGAAGACTGCTGATGAAGAGGCTGCCATCAGCTTCCTCTGCAGCTCAAGCTCTCTTGGCCTTTTTAAACCTTCCCTGTGGTCCCTATTGCTGTTTTCTAACTGGGCTTTCCATCCTCCTTTCCTTCCCTCCCCAGCCTGCTTCTCTGATTTTCTCCATGGTTTTCCAGCCCTGGAAGACAAAGGCATGAATCACAGCAATTCACTGGGTTTCCACCTTCCTTGCCCAGAGTCTAGGAAAGCGACTTTTCTGTTTCCAGTACAGTCAACTCTCTATTATCCAAGTGTGACTTTCCACCTCGTGGGTGGTCTCTAGATGGTTCCCAACACCAGCTTCCTCTTGCTCCCCAACACACTTTTACAAGTATTAATCAGGATGTGTTCAGAGCCTGGAATAGCGCTTGGACGGAAAACATACTGGCAAAGCACAACGCATTCCAGAGCAATGGATCCGTTTTTCTGAAGTCCCCTCATCATGGACAGGATAACTTTGAGGGTCCTGAATGGGAAGCTTCGAACTGCTTGTAAGTGACAAAGCCTCAGTCTGCCCCGTGCAGCCTGTCCCTAAGGTTCTTGCTCCGAAAGATGTGTGTCTACACCAGATAACCCCCACACACAGATGAACTGGCACTGAGTCCTCGTGGTTCCTTCTCAGTGTTTTCTCTCCTGCCTTTCCCATGAAGATGTTACAATGCAGAGTATTCCAGATTCAACTGCTGAAGAGGCTTTTTCATGCCCCTAGTAATTTATACATGAAAGAGGAATAAGCATTCCTTTGAGACTACCAAGGATTTTCTGTATCTTTTGAGTATAAGCTATGAAAAATTAATGTTATTGCAAAGAAAAAAGTGTTGGCTTAAATTTTAACACCAACACCTTTTTCTTTCTATAATTTATTTGATCATTCGCCTGAGTTCATTCAGTCCTATAAGTATAAAAATGTTAGTGGATGCGTCATTTATTTGTCCTTTTGTTCCCAAAGAAGGTTTTTAAAAAATTCATTGGGGCCATTGGATAACCAATTCAGTTTTTAAAATTTTGACCCTGAAATTGAGGGCACACGAAAGGAAGACTTTTGTCATATATTTGTGTTTTGACTTTGCAAGATTAATAGGGCTTTCTGTGAAGTGATTAGGCAATAGTCATGGAGCTCTTGGGGAGTTGTTGGTGATGACTGGTCAGCTGCAGCATGGTCTGGGTAGAGGACTGGGCTCTTGCTCTTACGGGCTGCTTTCCATTCCAACATGTCAAAGCCTGTATGGAAATCAGATCATTAATCCTTCAAGTCCCTTCCTTCCTTTTTTTCCTCCATCCCTCCCTCCTTGATCCATTCACTGTCTCTCTCATGGTGCTGAGGCAGTTTACCAGCTACTAAGGAAAATTAAACTGACCCAGGCCAAACAGAAAGAAAATAGGGGTCTCTGTTGCTGGCCCAGAAAGGCTGGCTGTGGGCACCGTGAAAGAAAAATCACCCCATTTGCTGCTCTTATTTTTTAATTTTTTATTATTTTTTCTTAAACATACTTTGAGAGCCAATTTTTTTTTCTTTTTCTTTTTTTAGAGACGGGGGTCTCACTATGTTGCCCACACTGGTCTTGAACTCCTGACTTCAGGTGATCCTCCTGCCTCAGCCTCCCAAAGTGCTGGGATTACAGACATAAGCCTCCATACCTGGCAAGAAACAAATTTTTTAAGTTTCTTAGAGACAGGATCTCACCATGATGCCCAGGCTGGACTTGAACTCCTGAGAGCTGAAGCATTCCTTCCACCTTGGCCTTCCAAGTAGCTGGAATTACAGGCGTGAGCTACTGCTCCTAGCCATTCTCTATTTGCAGACTCCAACTTGACTGTCCCAGCCAGATTTACCAAACTTACTTCCTTTGGTAGACAGTTGGAATTTGGTAGACAGTTGGAATTTGGTAGACAGTTGGAATTACTATTGTTTAATTTTTCAGAAATTGTTTTGGTTACTTATGCCTCCTTCTTTGGTTATAAAAGGAAAAATATAAGTGTATGTATCTGTGTGTGTGTTGTATGTGTTCCTTTCAGTAAACTTAGAGAACTACATGGACTAGTCATATTTAGTACAGTGGATGATTTGATGACCAGAAAGTAAACTGCGTCCTACTAGAATTTTTCACCTTTTTTTCTTGATTGTTAGTAGAGTGTATACTTAACAAAGAAAATTAGTCAAGCACAAAATTTGAAAGTGTGTAAGAGTCTACTTTTACCTAATCCAGTGAAAACCACCATCATTGGTTAAGAGTTTTATGTAGTTACTTCATCTTTTTTTTTTTTTTACATTGTCAAGGTTATATATGTTATAGCTTTTTTTTCACTTCATGGTATCATAAAAGCATTTTTTATCATTATTATTATTATAAATCTCTTTATGGGTTGAGTACAGTGACTCATGCCAGTAATCCCAGCACTCTGGGAGGTTGAGGTGGAGGATCACTTGAGCTCAGAGTTTGAGACTAGCCTGGGTAACATAAGGAGATCCCATCTCAACAAAAATTTAAAAAACAATTAGCCAGTTGTTGTGGTACATGCCTGTAGTCCTAGCTACTGGGGAGGCTGAGGTGAGAGGACTGTGTGAGCCCAGGAGTTCAGGCTAGCAGTGAGCTATGATCACCTCACTGCACTCCAGCTTAGGTGACAGAGCAAGTTCCTGTAAAACAAAACAATACTCAGTTCTTTATGTCATGACCACTGTGGAAAACAGTGTGATGTCTCCTTAAAAACTTGAAAATAGAATGACTATATAACCTAGCAGTTCCACTTCAGAGTATATACGCAAAAGAATCAACGAGATTTTTGTTCAACCTTTTTCATAGCGGCACTATTCACAATAGCTAGAACATGAAAGCAACTCAAGTGTCCACTGGTGGATGATGAATGTGTAAACAAAATGTGGTATTTGCATACATCAGAATATTAGTCAGCCTTATTATTTATTTATTTATTTATTTACTGGATTTTTTTTTGTTGTTTTTTTTTTTAGAGTTGGAGTCTCACTCTGTCACCCAGACTGGAGTGCAGTGG